AGTGCCTACTCTCTACAGTTCTTACACATGAGTATCTTTGATTGCAGCTAATAAGAACTTTGTACAGGCTAACAGCATAATTCAAAACAGATCTCCATGCAAATTAGTTAAATATCAGATATAATATAAAACTTATATAAACCAAGCATTGCAAGAAAAGAAGGATCTGCAGGAAAGTACTAATTATGATTCATTTATTTAATAAAAGTAATAGAATTTATATAGTGTGTTTCCATTACCAGTATTAAGCAATTAATCAAATAGTGCACACAAACCTGAATGTCAAACAGATGATGTAGATTAGTTGCAGATTATTCCTATGCAATGCTTTTTACAACTATTTCAGATTTTCTGCATATGTACCATTTCATCAGGTCACATCAAGTTACATTGTGTCAAACAGCATTTATTAACTCTGCCTAAGCCTAATCGTATGACATACACTTCATTGCACTTTGTATAAAAAATAAACCACAACTCTTCTGATTTTCAAAATGCATGCAAATGCTCTCCTGCATGCAGCAGATATTTGGGTGACTTTCACATTTATTATTTGTCAAGTAATTGCATGTCAAGAATTTCTTGACTTGAGATGTTCTTCAGCTGTTTGAAGTAACACATTCCCTTTATTTTTTTTAATTCAGCCCACAAAAGATGGAAAGGTCAATTTTCTACTTCTTTGAGAAGAGTGATTCCAACTGACGCAAATGGGAATTACTGATGCATATCAGTAAAATACTAGACACCCTTATGTTTGAAACAAGCCTAAGGAGGTACTTGCTCTGCTATATATATTCTACCTTGTGAAAAGTAAAAGGTTAGCAAGAAGTAGGCAAACTTTTCTTCCACCCTGCTGAGTTCAAGTCTTATTCGAATAAGTGTACATGAGGAACAATTAAGTACCTGTATGCAAGCGTAAATTCAATTCTAAAAATGTAGCCACATCAAGAATGACATCAAAGCAAGGTGGGTAAAAGCAAGATTGTCTGACTTACCTGATACTGTAGAGAACTTTCCCCGTTTTAGAAATCCTCAGCAGCTTGTTGTCTGTTGTAACATCATGGAAGTTTGCACCTTTCTCATTGGCAAAGAACAAATCAGGCTTCCAAATAGAGTCCAACATGGATGGATCCAAATCCAAGGAATCATCAGGGTATTCGCTGTAAGCCAGACGTGAGTCATTCCATTGCTGTCTCAAAAAAATGTTCACTCTGTAGTCCTACAGAAATGCCATGTAAAAAAGTCACTAAATCTCCTGTCAAGATAAGAGGCTCATTTTAAGTGTTTTGGTGCGAACAGTGCTCAGTGGCTTAGTACAGCATCAATGATATAATAATGAGGGAGCTATCATTTTAAAATAGGGCAGTGCAACCAAACTAATGCAACAGATACATTTTCCAGTTAAAAAAATGATTCTCCTGATGGAGATAATACCAACTACAACCTTAATATTAACTACAACCCTCTGTGGAGAAAACATATATTAATATTCAGGATCTCAGAAGCATAGAAGTATTACTGCTGCCTGAATATTTCAATAAATAATTATAAAGTAAAATAAAAAGGTAGGAAAATAGTCCAAGTAATTATTTAAACTAATTATTTACAATATGTAAATAAACAGATTCTAAAGCTCCAATAGATAGTTATTTATTCAAGTGGAGCTACATATGTCATAGATATATTTGTACCTCCTGCTTGCATTTTTGTGGCCTTTTTGCATCTACTGTTTGTTATTTTTCTGTGTGTTCTCTAATTCTCTCTTCCTTCCCTGTAACCTGCCTTATTAATGTAATGATAATTGCATTCTTCTTTCTAGTAGCCTGTTAGTTACAGCTGAGAAGACAGCAATTATTAGATGGTTTATTTAGAACTAACATCAATACTTTGCTAAGAAATGATCATTAAGAGAGTATTAAAGGAGAATTTAGGGCTTGGTCCAAGTCCCACTGAAGTCAATGGAAAGATATATACAGTGTCCTCCATATTCTTAATGCATCATTCCTACAGAGTTTCTGTGCTTGGGCAATCGGGGTCTCATATGTTATGTTTTGTTTGCTGTTGTAATATTGAGCTGACTGTGAAATCAGTACACTTCACTGGCCTGAGGATACTTAGGCTAGTAAAAACCCACATGCTATTCATACTAAATGATTTAGTTGTCAGAATATTTAAGGATATTTAAATTGATAATTTTAGTTGAAGAAAGAAATATGCTAGTGAAAAGTAATCAAAATAATTCCATCTGCTGTATTAAAATCTTGTATTTAGGGTTTGTTCTGCAGTATGTGAAAATGGCACCAATATGCTCTTGACTTGGAAAATGTATGAGTTGACATTTGTTTAGTTAAGCCATTGAACCACCTATTCTAGAGAATTTGCCATCCCTGAAATGTAAGCTAATATTCTCAGGGTGATTAGAAATGCAGTGAGCTACTTGCCAAATATGCAAACTCTGATGAATAAACCCCTCCAAGCTTAAGAGTTTCCCACCATTCATTCACTAGGCTTGTGATGAAAAATATGCTATTTATCTGACAGAAAATTTTAAACAGCTCCAAGCATAAGGACCGACAAGGCTCCTAAAATATAAGACAGTTTTTCATGACTTCTTTGGGAGCATGATTTATTTTTTAATTTTTATTCTGCCTATGTGTGGGTGTCAGCCAAAGCATGAGAATCAGAGGGACAAACAGTAATAAAGGACAAGTAGTGGAGAACTGAGCTCAAACAGTGCATTTGTTAGCAGTTCTGAAATGAGTATGCATAGACATTTGTATAGCCAACTGCATTTTTGCAGTGGCCTGGAATTCCATACAATTTAAGTCTAAGCAAATAGTCTGAGTTCAATGTTGCCATAGCTCCTTTGCATCCCATGAGGACACAGATACAGGGTGTCCTTTTCTCACTTTTTTATCTTAAAAAATTATTTTTGTCTTACAAGTTTATGTTTTAGAAATATATATGTATGTATATGAGACAGTATCAACCAGACAGCAGTGAGACTCTGTTTTCATAACTGGCTCAGGAAAGAAGACTGGTAGTGGCATCAGAGACTGCTTGGGAAAAAATATTCAGTTTGCAAAGGGCTTTTCATATCTAAAATAGGACACACTGAAGTTTCATGCACGCAAAGAAATGTATTTTTTCAGAGCACTGTAATGCGTCAGTCAAATCACTTAATTCTTTCAATTTCCTGGAAATATCTAAAAAAAAAAAATGTATTCAGCAGGCTTCTGTAGGCACTAATTTACACTACAAGAAACCTTTTTTGGACACAAATCTATAAAAATAATATTCAAACTCACCATTTTAGTATATTTGGAAATGCTCTCTCTGAGCATCTAAGTTTTGTTAGGAATATTATTATAATCTGCTTATCTCTAATAATTTGGCTTCTGGCTTTGATGTAAAAATAAAAGGGGGAAAGTTGCATATTACAAACTTTATAGTACAGTCATGACTTTCTTTCTCTGCAGTACTTAGGGCAGCATTGGGAGTAGAAAGTCATGGGGTGCTAGGGACAAAATAGGTTAAGTACCTGCAACGGTACTTGGTATAAAATTCTGTTTTTTTCTGAAATTGTGCCTTTTTCTTGAAATCTTGAATATCTTTCCAGGAAGGAGTTTCTTCCAAGAAGAACATCACAATGCAGCAAGTCAGACAGCAGATTTTGTATGTATCTGAAAGTATGCAGAGGTGAAAGATTCTGAAATACTCATACAGGGCTGTTTTGTGCCAGCTGAAGATCTGGTTCAGGAACTTTCTCCGACTGCATTCATTATTCTTATGAGAAATGTGGTCTGAACCCCAGGTTGGGAAACAACACAAGTAATAACACAACTGAGTATACGTAAAGGCATGTTGGGAGAATTTATTATTTGAAGATTAAGGGTTCAGTCCACAGATACACCAAGTTCATACCAAATGGTTGAGAAGATATGGTGACAGAAGATGGCTCTAATTTGCCTTTTGGTTTCTCTACTCCTGGGTCAAGTAGAGATCAATGTGGCAACAGTATCACTTATAAGAGGTGCAGGCAGCTGCTCCACCAGCTGCAAAACTGGCCGAGAAAGCCCTGTTCACAACATCGCCTTCCTCACTCCCTTATCTGCCCCCTGCCTATATACTGGCTTTTCCTTCAAGATATCTGAGGTATGCAGCTGCCCCACCCAGCCTCAGCTGCACACAACATATGGAAAACTGTGCAAAATATATTGAAAAGCTTCTTAAAATTTCACTATGTGGGTGCACCTACATGAGATGTTTACTGCCTAATTACCTCCACAATAAAAAGTCTCTGCATCTACACATATGGCCCTATTAGGCTTCAGTAAACTAATAAATGCTGCTGTAAATTAGTACTTGTATATACAAGTACTATCCTGTGGCAGTGTTATTTACTGTGCAGCTACACAGATGCAGATTATGGGGCAGGCTGGAGCACCTACCAGAGTTAGCTCCACACTGGAGCACACTTATGCCCCACTGAGCCAGGTCAAAGCAGCCCCAGCTTGGCAGGGTGACCCCCTGCCAACTAGGGATACTTCAACCCGGCTCACCATGCCAAGCACATGTGTAAAAGTGGCACTTGGGAGCAATAAACTCCGGTGCAATATGCACCAGAGTTTATTGCTTCATATTAATTGCATATGTAGATGCACCCAGTGAGCTCTAAATATTAATATCTACCGGCAAGCAGTTGTTCCATAGTTTGTTGTATAGCTCTGAAGAGCAGAATATGCAAGTGGATGTGTAGTTAGGTATGTAAGTAGTCCCACTGATTTCTGTGTGCATAAAACTATACTCTGCTTGCTTATGTTGCTGAACTGGGGCCTAAAGACATGTCTGTATAGCTTTCCGCCCAACTCTGCATCCCCAGCTGACCAGATAAGCCCCACTCTCTTACTCATGTTAGGGTACACTAGAGACTGACAGTAAGACAAAGTAGATGGTGTAGGAGTGGCCCTGAATAGGTTGGAGCAGACCTGAGCAACACCCCATCAGCACTCAGGCTTTCTTAAAATAAAGAGCATGAAGCTGGCCCAGGGGTATGCCCTTACAGGTTGCTCTGAACCATCTGCTCAGCCTGCCTGTCCAGTTACACCAGCAGAGAAGTTAGCCCACAATGTCAGCTGTTGATTATAATGCATACAAGCAATGTAGTCACCTCCCAATTAGCCATTTCTATAATTAACAATTAAATTACCAATGTACAACTACTCTTAGTTTCTCTTACAGCTGACAGCTAAATAACCTGGTCATTAGTAGTAATGAACAACTGAATTCTTTGGGACTGTTGCCCAACTTGATGTAGATTACTCATCTTTGATATTTAACTACAGTTGTTTTGTGCCGAGGCTTTCTGCATGTGCGTGAATATGTTTATGCATGTGTACTGATGACTTGCTGCTGAATGCCGTACCTGTAAAAAAAATCTAAAAATAAACGTGAAGTAATCTGACCAAATTCAACCCTGGTGTAACTCTGCTTTCTTCAATGAAGTTAGTTATCTCAGAAATTAGTGAGACCTTTTCTTCACAAATAAATATAGGATAAGATTTAAAAAACACCTAAAAAGGGAGGGGGAAAGATACTCAGAGACTGTAATTGGCTCTGGATTGGGCCCCTTAAAGTTTATTATTGTTTTGGCATCTTGTTTTGCTTCCTTATCTGGAAGAAAACACCATTTAAAAGATGATACTGTCTCATGTATTCATTATCATTCAAAAGCATTAGCAGGGAAGTGTTTTGTTTCCATGGAGCATTTTATACAATTTGGAGTGAAAACTGTCAGCAAACCTGAAGTCTGTTTTATGAGCTGAATTTTGTAAACAATATAGTTTTTAATAAAGATAAGCTTTTAGATATATTTGTTCCATTAAAACAAACAAACACATTTCTTCAAAGGCCAAATAATTTCAGTAAATACCAGGTGAAATTATGCAGGATGGAAATCTAAAAATTGGTTAGCAGTAATCTAAATCTTCTCTCATTGAAAACAATCATAACATTCTCAATGGGACTGATGTTGGGATAATGTTAATCTTTTTTAGAAGTCTACCAAAAATAGGATTAACACAATTTTTCATCATCTATACAGGGTTCCAAATGACACGGTCATTTTGAAAACCACTGCATATGTAAATACTCAGTCTGTTTTTATTTTAGTGCTAGTGGCACAAACCATCAGTTCTACTCAAGGGCTAAGTTTTTCTCATGCTTTCAGGTTTGATTTACTTCCGCGGAATGTGTCCACATGTTGTGAAATACAACCATGTGCAGAGGATCTGCCCAGTGTCTACCTAACACTTAAGTCCCACTTAACCCATCAAAGTAGAGCTCAAATAGTACTTATCAACTAGACAGACAACTACGTTTCGCTGCAGAATTTGTGCTTGCTCTTTGTACAAGCTGGATTTTACCCAACACAGGAATGAGAAAAGGCTCCTATTAATGTTATAAGAATTTTACTGCAGGATTGGGGCAGAAATCCTGGTTCTGGATGTGCTATGCTGTATGCTTCCATTAAGCTCATTTGAGAGCAAAATTGGTCCTTGGTGGTTTTCCTATGTTGCGGAAGTACGCCCTTTATTATGAATGTACTTTAAATTGAGTATTCCTTTCCTCAGAGACATGATCTACTTTTGACTTTTAATCCAATGTATAGCTTACTTTCTTATTTTTAAGTAAATCTTTAAAGTTTTATGTAAAAACCATCACAAGCCTTTCATGGGGACAAAATTAATTCAAGAAGCTAAACCAAACTCATTATTTATTACAAGAGATGCAAAACTTTTCACCACATAATTAAATTTCCCTTTAGAAAGCAAAGTAGATGAGCAGTAATTGAGGTCTGCCTCTAGGAACATTTAAAAAAAATATTCTAAAGTAGACATTAAAGAGGTGACAACTTTAAGAAAAATCAATATTGAACTACTGAATAGCATCCAATTTAACAGATGTCTTTCAACACTTTCTGCAGATATTATGAAGAAAGCAAAACAAGGAAGCCAACATCTTTGTTTTCACATCCTTGAATGTTTAGCTTTTTTCAGCAGAATGTGTTAATGACCATTCAAAAGGTGCACATTAACATATTTGAGAGACAATCAAATGCAATGAGGGGATTTAATCAAAACAATGAGGGGTCCAATTAATGCATTTAGCATTAGGTCGTGCAAATACTTTCATTGAATGCCATCTTGTAAAGTCAGTGACGTGCAGGATTTCTGCGACTTGATGCTACTCCTATCTCTCTATGTGCTAAGACCAACAAACAGTTGTATGACTGAATGTAAAACCCAGTGGTATACTCTGAGAACGTTCTTCTCAGGACCCTGAAGGTTTAGGACATTTTATGACGTCTTGAAGGATTCTGTAAATAAAGTCTGCTGACAATAAATTATGACGTATTCTGATATTTTTCCTTATCTGTTTGAACCTATGTTTGATATGCCTCCTGGAAGGGAGGAGGAAAAAGGCTGTTAAAAGTTAAAAGTTAAAAATTATGACTTGTAAATACTGCAAGTCATAATTTATAACTCAACTCTGTTGTCTTCAGTTGTGATTTATAGCAATGCCTCTGCCCCTTCTTTTGATATAAAAAGTAACTTATCCTGTCAAAAATTCTATTTATCATTTGTAACAAGTCAGATGGAGGTTTAAACAAGTATAAATGGTTTTTGTAGCACTGCTCCTCCCATTGCCTTTCTGTAGTACTTGTGCTTTTTATGTGTGTTTCAAAAATCGGTTCCTCAAATGAAAGCATCAATTAAATTTGAATTTAAATTAGCTATTGGTTAACCAGCCAACCTACGTATCTGTTCTTATTTCAGGTCTGTAAATATTAAAAGGTAACATAAATAACCACATTAGGTAAAATCAGGCCAATATTTGGCATATGCCTTTTTATAAATAAAAGGCTCAAAATTGATTTCCAGGGGCCCTTGTGAACTTAACTCTCATTAGTGCCTTTGACTTCAATAGATGTAGAAGTCATTTGCTACCTCATCTGACTGAAATTTGGGAGCACTACAGAATAATATTCAAAACAAACAAACAAACAAAAAACTCTGAAAGTAGCTGTGTAATTACTTCAGAAAGCCTCCCCTCTTTTTTTCTCAAATGATGCTCATAAATCTCCCTGAATCTTATTGCAGAATTATATTTATTTTATTTAAATGCAATGTGAATATAATTTTACTATTTTTTTCTTCAGTGGCAGTGGTAATGGGGATGGAGGAAAGTGAAATTTGGATCAACTAAATTCCTGCATTTTAATACTCCAGAAGTTTTATTTGTTCAAATGAAGCCTAAGCCCTAAGATATTGCCCTAAGATTCCTTTTAGTTAATAGTAGCTAAGGGGAAATTTTTACATCTTAGATGTAGATATGCAGGGACCTGTTAGATTTTCTTTTCTGATGTCTGATTAACAGCATCTAACTTTTGCTTTGCATTTCAAAAACAAATGCAAACCTCTAAGTAACTCTGAGGAAAAATCATTATTGTTTCTTGTTATTGGATTGATTTTTTTTTCCTGGTTTCTTTTTTCCATGACAAGACAAATACAGTTTAACTTCACTCAAAACACAACCAAGGTTGCACAAAAAGGCTCACATAGGTTTTGGTGAGGTTAGTTAAAGTTCCTGGTCTGTACCAAAACATAAAGCCAGAAGTGTTGTTTCAGTTTCATTACAAACATTTCACCAATTTCTCTAATTTATAGCTTTGTCTTGCAAATGTGAAAGAGTCCCAGGAAAAACTAAGTTCCGTCTTTCAGTTTCATAGGGATAAAATTATTTCCATTATTAATGGAACAGACTAATATTTTAGATTCACTAGATGAAAAAAAATAAGCTTGAACCAAAATGAAAATTTTTCATTTTCCTGTGGGGAAGAGGGGGAGGAAGAAATGCTGGAAACTTGAATTTGGGTCAAGGAAACACTGTTTTGGCCAAAAATAAAATGTTGTACTTCAATTTAAATGTTGATCCTTTTCAATTATTGAACTTTAGCATTTAAAAAAAAATAAAATATAATTTTTAAATGAAAAATCAAAATGTTTTGTTCTGAAAATGTCAAAATGAAATATTTTGGAATTTTTCTAAATTTTGTTTCTTTATCATTAAAATTATTTTCTGCATTCAGTCTGAATTCATGAGTAGTTTTGGTCCCCTCCAAAAATTCATCTTTAGGGAAACAAAATAGTTACTGAAAAAGTCACCTAACTCTACTCATAAACATATGACTCCAGCCATAAACTATTGTAACTGCAGCTCATGTGCATACACCTAAATCAACTTTAAATTAGCAAGCTGGTAGACATGGCAGCATATGATTCAGTGTGGGCTGCAAACCTACCCAACAAACTGGGAGAATACTTAGGCAATTAGCCTACACTGAACTGTGTGTTACCCTGGCTACATTTCTACTGGTACCAAAGCTGGATAATTTAAAACTGGCTTTCATATATGTGTGAGAGCTGCAGTCAAAGCAATGATCACAACACAGATGACCCTAACTCTTTATTATTTAAAAGTACCATTTCCTACAATAAATAAAACACCCAGCTAAACTTACTTCCATACACATATTTGGGTAGGTTAAGAACTCAGTAACTGTCCCAAAATTATAATAGTTCCATTCTAAATTACATCCCACTCCTTCACAAGATGGCTTCAATGGTCAGTCCCACTCACCATTGTAGTTTCTGCTATTGAACCAAAGCTGTTGATAAATATGTTGCAGGTAACATTTACAGGAGGACCTGCAAGTTGAACAATAAATAGAAAAATTGACAGGTTGCGTTCATGATATACATCAAGTATTGTTGTTTTCTTGCCAGTGGCATCATTGCACTTACCATTGTGGTTTCTGTGACTGATCCAAAACTGTTGATAAAAATATTGCAAGTAACGTTTACTGGAGGACCTGTGGAATGCAATAAAAATGTTGCAATATATATTGAAGCAAAAGTACAGATCCATCAGCATCTGTACAATCTGGTACAGATTGTAGCTGAAACCAAGTAGAAAGTGAGATTATATGATTAAAGTCATGCTTGCATCCATCAAAGGAACACTGTTGCCACAACTACTTTTTACTGAACTGTCCTTCCATTTGAGGGACTTATTGAAATGAGCACTAGATCAACAATGCTAGATATAAAATTTTCTTTTTGTCCACAGAAGTAAAGCACCGTGGGTTGTGGCACTCTAATCTTTCCAGGCTGCCCCACATCTCAACCCACTGATGGAGTTACTGGTAGTTTAATTTTCATTCAGTCCTTGGCCCCTCTACAGACACTTCCAGAAAGGGCTACATTTAATATTGATGCCTGTCTACTGAAAACAGGACTCAGACAACTATTTTTTTCAAATCAGATACCAAATGCCTGTTTGATCATGATAATTTTTTTAAATAATTCCCAGGTTTGACTGCACAACTTTTGTTAGACAGCTACACAATATGTAAAATATTGAATTCCTTTCATCATCTTCTGTGCTATTTAGGAGTCACAGAAATGTACATATATGAATGAAACCAACAGGATACTCAACTTATTATTAACTACCTTTCAACTCTTCAGGTATGATGCAACATTTAAAAAAAATTGGACTTGCAAATCAGTCAGCTTGGATTAATGTGAGATGTATGAATTTCAGTGGTGCCAGATTTCACAAATGCATGTAATATTCATACTCTTTTCCTATTTTCTCATTGTTAATCCTGAAATATTTAAAAACTCCAGGTTTTGGATTTTAGATTTTAAATTATGCAGAATACTTATGGAAAAAATAGAATACCTGGTTGTCAGTTGTGGCTTTTCTGTACTGGATCCAAAAGCAGATCACAGGAAGGTTAAGTATAACTATCTCAATTTCACATGATAGGGAAAATGAGGAACAGAGAAAGTAAGTGACTTGTCCAAAGTCATATAGCAAGGTTGTATAGCAGTGCTCTGTCTGCTAGGCTACACTGTTCTGAAGAGAAACCAGCAATACCATCATTTTTTGAAAGTTTGGTGGACTCCATAGGAAATACATTTTTGTACTTAACTTTCTGAACAAAAGTTGGGAGAAGGATAGGAGATTTAAATGTTATCTTGGAAAATGTGTTGTCTCATATCAAATAAGGTAATGCAAATGAAGTCTTACATTTTTTTTTCCTTTGCCAAGACAGAGGTGCAATTTGCAGCTTAAGGGCATTTTGTTTTCTTCCATTTTTCCAAGGTAACATTTTGTGAATCTAGGTAATATCAATGAAGCTATTCACCTTTTCTTTCCCTTTGTAGTATTACCTTGAAAGAACATTATCAGTGGAGTAAACCTGTTTTTTATGATTATTTTTATTTATTCATGAATGCTCAAAGCATGATAGGAGATTTACATACAAATAAGAACAGAAGGTGCTTGCCAGAAATTCTTATAAACTAAGACTTGACCCTACGATTTACAACAAGTGGTTAGTCAGGCCGTCACCTGCGGTCAGTCTATTTGCACTGTACACTGTAAACTGAGGATACTTAAAATAGCAAAGAATCAGTAGCATAACTAAAGTGGGGGGAGCAACCAGGTTACCAGCTCCTGGAGGGAAGGGAGGGAGGACTTAACTAGCAGCTGCTATGCTGCTGGCCCATCTGCTGCCACCACCATCAGCAGCCTGGCTGCAGCTGTTGTCTATGCACCACCACTGCCCAGCCAGCAGAACTCCCCAGTTACACCTCTGTAAAGAAAAAAGGGTATAATAAAAAGCAAAGTGACTGAGCTCTGAAGTTTAATACATTTAATTCCTTTAAAAAAACAAAACAAAACAATATATCTGGTATTGATTTATTAGCACTTTAAAAATCAGGGGGCTAGGGCTTCTATTATATGCTATAAGGAAGAAGCATGCTTTTAACTGTTCACACAATTTTTTAATAAAAGAAAAAATTCTTATGCTCTTGTATTCCCTTTTGCAGGATTAGCTGATCAAATAGTGTGTAGGAATGTTCAGGGCCAAATCTCTTAAACTGCACCTAAACATTCAGATTAAAAAATAACTAAAATCAATGGAAAAATGTCACCCCATTTTCCCATTCCCATTTGGGCAGGCGGGGACTGCCCAAATCAACGAAACTCTCCGAATCTTTTCCAAAGGTTCAGAGAGCTTTGAATTGATTCGGGCCTTTTTATTGGTCCCCTGATTCAATTCAGATTTGGAGATTCCGCCACCAAATCGGGCCAAATCTCCTCCAAATTGAATCATCATCCAAAGCTTTGCACAGTCCTAATAGCCATGGATACATATTCTTTGGTGCTCATAATTTTTGATACTGAGAACTACCTTTTCTGATAGTCCCATTTCTAGATTATCTTTCCTCTTTTTCCTGGAAATCAGACAAGTTTTCAATAATCATTTCTACTTTCTCACCTTTGTCCAAGCTCTGTATTCTCTGGAATCCAGTCTGTACCTAGAGACTTTTTAAATTCACATTAAACTCATCTATACAGCTAAAATGTCAATAGTGTTGTAGCTGTATACACATTATAAAATACTTGGCAAAATGTTTGTCTATTTTCTTGAGAAGTTAATTTAGGTGAAAGTACATGTTAGAAAAGAATAATTATTCAAAAGCAAAGAATGCAAAAGTCACATGCTCACACATGAGCACAGTGGAAGGATATAAGAGCAAGTCCGAGGCAGTGAAGAAGAAACACTTATCTTTATACGCACAGAGAATGAATGTGAAAAATTTTAGGAACCAGAGGTGTGGCAAGCTCATTCAGTACCTTGGAAATAGGGGGCTAGAGTGGGAGGGAACAGAAGTATGCTGACACTTTAGCTGGGGAGGGTGGGGGCAGGCAGGCAGATGAGGGGAAAGGAAGTCTTACTGCTCAGGCTCTCTGAAGGCAGCTGATATTGCTGCCACTGCTACTGCTGTAGCAGCACTGGCTCTGACAACAGCAGCCCCATGGCGTGGGCTCCATTGGAGCTGCCTCTGGTGTCCCAGTTGCTCCCACCCCCCAATATGCTAATGATACATAATTGCACTGTGAAAAAAAACAACCCCTTGAGGGGGAGAACCGTTCCATTTACCTCCTGCCTTCTGAGTACACTCCTGGGTGCAGGCTGCTCTGCCTGGCTGTTATGGCCAGGCAGCCATAGGGCTGCCCCTGTTATGACAAAGAGAGTCTTGAGACTCTTGAGGCTGAAATTCTGATTTTGACTTGCATGGGAATAAAAGGGAATATGACTCTCCTCAATACCCCTTTTCCTTGGAGGTTCTTTGGTTCTGTACATATTGGTTTAAGAAGACATGAAGTATCCACTATTACCCAACAACTGGACCAGAAGACAGGTGAGAAGATCCTTGAATACAGGCTTTAAGGGTATATTTGCATGTTGAGATACTTAAGCCAGTTCAGCTACTGGAAGTAGTACAGCAATCTTAGTGTGATGCTAATTTTTTATTTTATTTTAACAATTGCTTATCAATCCTTAGAATACCTAAATTATGGTGACAAGCCTGTGTAATATCTCTATTAAAGCCAGAGAAGGATGCCTCTGGCTCAGAGAACTTTAGGCCAGTGTCACTTCTACGCCATCTTTAAAAGCTTTACAAATGCCTTATTCTCAATTGCCTTTCACCCCATATCAAACATCTAATACCAGAACAAGTCAGATTTAGACCAGGCAAGTCCTGCACTTTGCCAAATACTAAACATCACCCAGCAGTTAGAAGATGGATTCAAGAGAGGGATGATAACAGGTACTGTGTTTGTAGACCTATCAATGGCATACAGCACAGTCAGCCACCAAAACCTGCTTGCCAAAGTCTACAATATGACACAAATACCAACTAGCATAGCATATCCAATCTATTTTGGAGAATAGACACTTTTACATAGAACTGTGCAAGAAACAGAGCCACTGGAGACAACAACGAAATGGCTTCCTACAGGGTAGCATGCTAGCACTGAGCTTCATATTCAAGGAAGGACTTCACCACTGTTGAGAAGAGACTGAAAGGAGCACTAAATAACCTTTCAGATTACTATAATAATAACCAACTTTGCACCAACCCAACCAAGATGCAGGTCACAGCTTTTCACACACACCATAGAGAAGCCAAGCAGAAATTAAACATCATCTGTGATCGAATCCCACTGACTAATCACATGAACCCTGTGCACTTGGAGATTACATTGGACTGAACACTTACCTTCAAAGTACATGTCATGAAGATGAAAGAGAAAGTCAGCTCGTGCAGCAATGTACTTTGAAAGTTGGTCACCTCAAAGTAGAGAACGAACCCAGCTACATTGTGAACCACTGCTATTTCCTTATATTTCTTCACTGCAAAGTATACATGTCCAGGGTGGGAACAATCAGTTCATGACAAGAAAATAAACCCAGTTCTAAATGACAGCTGTTGTGAAAAAAACAGGATGTCTAAAGCCAACAGCAAAGGATAGCTTGTACTTACTAGCTGGCATTGCACCACCTGATATCAGAAGAAAGGCAACGAGCTTAAAAGAAAGATCATGGCAGATGGAATATACCAGGTATCCACTTTATGGCCACACCAAGGTAAGTAACAACTTCAAACATGAAAGTGTTATGTGAATAATGTTGTGCCGTTGGACACACTGGCTTATAGGACATGACTGAGGTTATGGAAGGAAAGATTACATGCAATCAGGTACTCTGAAATGGTCCTGGAAACCCAGGAGGAAATTCCAAGAGGGGTGGATCTAGAATGGTTAATATGGCAATACCTGA